TAAAAGTGTCTGTGTGTAAAAGCTGCTGTGTGTAAAAGCGTCTGTGTGTAAAAGCTTCTGTGTGTAAAAGCTTCTGTGTGTAAGTGTAAAATGGTCTGTGTGTAAAAGTGTCTGTGTGTAAAATGGTCTGCGTGTAAAAGTGTCTGTGTGTAAAAGCGTCTGTGTGTAAAGGAGTCTGTGTGTAAAAGTGTCTGTGTGTAAAGGAGTCTGTGTGTAAAAGCCTCTGTGTGTAAAAGCGTTTGTGTGTAAAAGTGTCTGTGTGTAAAAGCTGCTGTGTGTAAAAGCGTCTGTGTGTAAAAGCTTCTGTGTGTAAAAGCGTCTCTGTATAAGAGCGTCGCGTTTCTTCACATCCGAGGAATGAAGGTACCGAGCTTTTTCGGCAATGTGTGTAGGAATTACCATAGTAAAATTAAAATGAGATAACACATGTCATTCGCAGCATCATGGTACCGAGCCTCCTGTGCACCTTTGTTGCTCACATTATATTTCTCCATGTTCATGTTTTCTTTCCATCTCCCTTTCCTTCTCTCTCTCTCTCTCTCTCTTTCTCACCCTCTCCCTCTTTCTCTCTCTCTCCATCTCCCTCCCTCTCTCTCTCTCTATGTCTCTCTGTGGTTTTACCAAAAATCCTCTTCTTAATCAATCTTACTTTTCACACCTTATCCCTCCATAGCTCATAAAAATTCACCAGCCATTCACCGACTATCTTTTACGACTACCATCCTCAGAGCTGCTTGAAAAACATTTTTTTCGCTCTCGGGCCAACCGTCGTCTAGTTTCTCAAGAGGAGGTGTCAGGATGCTGAGAGGATAGAAAGACATCATTTCCTCGACTCGTGTAGTCCGAGAGAAGATATAGAAAAGCACATCGCTGCGGCTTGGCGTGGTCTGTTTCAACATGAGGTTCTGCCGCGATGGAAAGCCTCAGATGTTTGGTTTGCTGGTGATTGCATGATATAGATATATATAGATGATATAAATCTTTTAACAAGGTTTATCCAGAGCCTCATCGAATCGAAACAGCCTGCAATCGAAACAGCAGTCGTCGTTGGTTTCGCGCAGGCCATCTTGGTGGACGCACCGAACTTGACGCAGAATCTGCCGAGACCACATTATTTGGCCTTGCTGCACCTTTTTGACACCTCCACGAAACGATATGCGCATCATGCCTACCGATTTCAACATGAGCCGCCCTTCATGTACCTTGGTGCTGTTGAAAACCCGAAAGCTGCATGGATGCCGTTGAAACCAGTTGGTGATTTTGTTTCAAAAGTTGATCACTGATAAAGCGCAAGATCAGACATCACAGATGCCAAAAGGGAGAGGACGAATTGACGAGGTCTTTCAAGAATCTCAAGGTGGAATGGAAGCCTCAGCTAAAACAATCGTGCAAAAAGATCAATGATGTTTTCGTAGAATTTAAATCCCTCTTGGAATTTCCTCTACAGAATCAGGAACGTTAAGTCCTGGGAAATGGTGCGTTTTAACCCCCTGCTTTGTTTAGGGGTACCTACCCAGTGTCAACGCTTTCAATTTTATAGAGGACCTTGGGGTCTCTGATTCTATAGAGATTTCATGTTGGATACAGCACTGAGTACTAGGCAGCAGAGAGTCTTACGGACTGCGATTCTATAGTGGGATATGTTCTCTTTGGATGTATGTCATGTTCTTCAATTTTATAGAGAAGTATTGGCAGATACCAGAGCAGCGAGGATTTAGAAAAAGGAAGCGGATGGAAACAGATGGAAACAAAATGAAACAGAACAACTGTCAAGATCTTTCAAGCATTTTTCACGCGTCTATAAAATCGAAGAGGTTGACATCGAACACTTGGAGCCTTTGAGCTCTATAAATTTCGAAATGCATAAGGTAAGCTAGGCAAGAGCAACTGGAGCATTCAGGTCAGCTGTCAATGAAGGATATTTGGGGAGTCTGATTTTATAGAAGGCCAACTAACCCCCCCAACCTAAAAAAGGCTCTTAGAGAGTGACTTGGTGTCAGCAATTCTATAGAAAATGATGCTCATAAACGACCTCAGTGACAGCAATTCTATAGAGATTGTCAACTTGAAAATACCTTGGTGTCTCTGATTCTATAGATGCATTTTCAGAAAGAGGGTCAGCGTCTCCAGAATTATCACTATAAAATTGTCAACACCAACACTCTCACTTAATTCAAAGGGGGATGATTTTAAATTCATTTCTGAATGATTTTCTTAACATGATTGGCAGATATTGGCAGTCTGATATGATTTCGGAATGATGTGCCTTGGTGTCTTTGGCCTCGAGGATTCTCCAAGTGAGTTCCCAACTGCCCTTGTCCGAAGCCGCGGCAACGCCGAATGGCGTTGCCTTCGCCTTCGCCAGTGGCTTAGCCGTGAAAGGAAACACCGTGCTGGTGACCTACGGCGCGGGCGACCGCGAAGCCAGGGCCTTGGTGATGACCATGGAGAAACTGGATGTGACTTGGCAAGATGGGCGGGGCAAGTCACCTCAACTCAAGTAGTAGTGGTAATTTATAGAGTAATTCATCAACTCAGTTTCCGATGGTGGTTGGAAGCCTTTACTGATGGTTTCAGCGCCGTGGCATGTGTTGGTCTCAGCCCACAGGAATCACGTGACCACGTGGACTCTTTTGTGGTTTGACAGTGAAGAACTGTCTTGATCAAACTTTGGCTGAGCAATTTGTCTCGCACCATGACTATTTGGTGGTTATTAAAACATCCCCCCAAAGCGGTGATGTTTATCCGGGAAAAAGGAACATAGATTTCCTTGCCCGCGTCAGGCATTCTTCCACTGCGGCTGAGCTGACTCTGAAACCAAGGCCGCGTACCAGCTTTTGTATGCATGAAATCATATTGAATATTGCTATTAAGACTGCCTGAAAATCCAGGTGCTATGCAAAAACACATGTATCTCATACACATAATGCATCATGTGTAGGTACTAGAATACTGTCTTTTTTGGCACTGTATGAGATTTCTTGACCTACGAGTTTTGATTCTTGAAAGTGCACACGCGAAGATTATCTGATCCCAAAGCAGGATCGAGCTGGAATGCAGCAAAACAAGGATCAACGTGCTCAAACGAGCATTCGTTGTACATATTTTTTTTATGACTGGGAATTGCTAAAGGAGACTCAGAGATTTTGCAACACGCTTTTTGGGCCAAAAACCGTTTGACATTCAGCAATGGCTTTTTAGTATTTGTGGTATCCAGCCATTCAGCAATGTCTCTGAATTTCCAGTTTAGACTCGCAGTTGCTTCATTTGGCAACCCACGAAGTAACTGTGAGGTGCACAGGAAACTCAGTGTATGGGTCGTTTCCAGTGGTCATCAACAATCAGTGCTTCAAAATGACCAGAAGCTGAGCTTTCGACAGCTTGGAGCCGAAGGAGTCAACGAAGTCAATGGAGTCAACTCAGGTATGACCAGGTACGACCTTCCAGGCTCTACAATTCGGAGCATTGACAGTTGGAAAATAGGATGGGTCATGGTGCATTGAATGCTGAAGGCAACATGCAGTAACATACCAGTAGTTTCAACCGGTTTCGACATGTTTCAACCACGCTTCATGACATCACAGGTGAGCTGAGCCCAGCGAAGCTCCGAGTCCTGCCGGTGTGGCACTGGTTCGGGCCTTGTCATGGAAAAGATGTTTCGCTGGCAATGGAAAGAGACTCTCAGTTTGGTGAAGTTCTTTCTGAAGTGGTAACCTTTGTGTCCTGGGCGAAATCTGACATGAACCATTGCTGGAAAGTCTTGTGCAGAAGATCAGCCCAATTCTCAAAGTACAGTGTGACTTTAGGCATCACATTATGAATGTGCGTACAAACATGGTAAAACCTTACATTTTGAATTCTGAGGGGACACCATGTTTGGGCCGCCCAGCACGATCAGCACGCCATGCCTTGGTCCAAAGCTGGCTCAATCGCGCCGGTAAGAGCCGTTTTCTTCGGCAGCATGGCGCCAGAGATGCCAGAGTCAGGTACCGAGAAAGGCGTTGAGCCTCGGGAGCTCTCGCTGACAGAAAGTGGTGACTCACACGTGCCATTGCTGTCGGCTGATCCCGAAAAAGCCAAAGAGGAAGATACCGAGGATGAGAAGAGCCGCGAACTGCGGCTCAACGAAGATATTCGTGTTCGCCCAAACCTGGTGTCAAACCTTTGTTATGCGTTTGCATTTTTTCTGGGTCTATGCATTGCAATGTTCATCTTTGCCAGAGATCCGCATATGGGAAGCACTCTGGCTGAAAAGACGCCGGGTTTCCTTCATGCCGCAGCGCATGAAGTGCAACGCAGGCACGGAAAACTGGAGGGAAAACTGGAGGAAAATTGAAAACATTTGAAAACCAAAGAGCTGCAGCCACACCTGATTTGCAACATTTGGCAACTGCAGGTTTGCCAACACTGACCTGTTCAGAATGTAAAGATATTCCCCCAGCATGCATTTGCCTCTTGGGTTTCATGGGGTACTAGGATGTACTACTGAAATATTTGAAATGCCTGCAGGAGTAGCTGGATGGTGAGACAAAGCAAAAAACTCATGGGTGTGCAGAAACCCTTCCTGTGGATGGTTTGGGCGGAGGAAAGCTCCTTGGAATCGGAAGAATTTCTTCGGCGATGTGTCGATCGGTGGCACAGCTTTCTCAGCTCTGACTTCGAGGTTCACCTGGTGGAGGCAAAACACTTCGATCTGTGGCTTAACTCGTCTGCTCTGCCACAGAACTTTGGAGATCTCCCATCCAAGGTGCAGGAGGATATCTTAAAGGTGGCTCTACTGGCACATTTTGGAGGTGTGTTGGTGGATGTGGATTCCATTCCCATCCAACAAGATAGCATGATGCAGATCTGGACGAGCCTCCAGGATAGTGATGCACAGGCACTGGGAACTTATTCCTATCACCAGGAATGCCAGTGGAGTCTAGGCATGTGGTTCTTGGCCGCCAAGAAGGGCAGTGCCTTTATGAAGCACTGGTTGAAGCTGCTTCTGGAGGAAATAGGTGGGGCCAGAGTCTGAAACGCTTTCTAAATTTCCAAGTGTGGAAGGGATCATTTTTTGATGGATGATTCATATATGATACTGTAGTTTAATGTAGTTTAGTTTATGAATATCATCATTACTACACTAACTACGAACTACTACGAACTACTGCTAACTACTACTAACTATAGGTTCACGGCTCATATTTCGCCGTGAGTCACCTACCAGAAAGCTTCCAGAGAGCTCCCAGAAAATTTCCAGAAGGTCCCCAGAAGGGTTCCAGCGAAAATTTCCAGGCACCAAAACGGAGCTGATCTCAATATTAAAAAATGCTCGTTTTGCAGGGGCCAGCACCAAATCCTGACCGTGGGCCTTCTGGGACCATTCTTTCCAAAGCCAAACATTGTTGCCTCTGTAACAAAAGCAACCACTGTGCATTCTCAACAGCTCTCCCAATGTCCTACATAGATACATAGTTTCAGCCAAAACAACAAAACAAACAAGTGCAAATGCCTTTTCAAAGAGTGCAGCATTGTTTTCAAAATGTATAGACTCTACATCTCTACAGGAGTTTCCCTCAACATATGCAATAGTTCGTTTGAACATGTGCATTTTACTTATATATTTTAAACAGGCACCAATTTATGCAATATGTTCTCTATAAAAAATGAAGGATGATAAACATGCAAACATCACTTGTAAAATGACTTTGCATAAAGAACACCATTCCTCCATGTATGCAACAACCTTTTGCAAACATTGTTGCATTCTTTAAAAGATGTGTGTAGGATTACTTCCCAATTTCAAGGAGAACCCTCCTATGTATGTACTGAATGATTTCAGAAATCATAGCATTTCTGTAGGAAAATGTAGCATGCTGTTTTGCAAGTTTTTATTCTATTCTTGAATTGCTACAGCATGGTTTTGAAAAAAGTGCCATCTTGCTGACACATTGATTGAAACATGTGTTTTACCTTTGAAAGTGCAGATTCTTGCTTGCAAGGTGTGCAACATTCTGGTACGGAAGTGTAGCAAGAGCCTACTGTAGATTCCATTGATGATGCAAACACCTGGTTAAAAATATGCTTTCTTGTTGTAAAGCAAGTATTGCAACACCTTCTGCAATAGGGCCTTTCAAAGAGTACGACTGTTCTATGGAAATGTTGTTTTGTTTTGAAAGGGTGCTATGTGACTCGACTTTCAAAAGGCCTTCAAAATGTGCAATATCTTATCTTTGTAAACAAAGTAGAATATGGCTTCAAACAATGCAAAACAAATTGTAATTATAAATCATAAATCTTAATGCAAATTTATTCAACTATAATTATGGCAATGTAAACAAGCGTTCTATGCCTATGCAAAGAGTGCAATAGCACAATTACCTACAATATCTCTTTCAAACTAGTGCAGCATTTGCTCCAAACAAATGTCATATTACTGCAAACTGTGCAAATTCTGTGTCAATCAAGGAAAGCCTTCCTTTGAAGATGCACATATGTATGTGTATACATATATATATATATATATATTGTGAATGTCCACATTTCACCAGCACTTGCCGGGTTTTTCTCATGAGGCGTTCATCCAACGCCAATTCAGCTTGGAGTGCCGCAGGAACCGAAGGCTCAGGGAGCCCGTTGTAAGGTGCAGGGTAGGGAGGGCATAGCTTCCTTGGAGCCATAGGGCATAGCAGCTTGGTGGTCGAGGCCGACCGGATATCGCTGTGGGATCAGCGTGGTCAAAAGAAGCTTGCGAGGCAGCAGCTGGGAACTTGGTGTGACAGGTGTCACCTTGGAGGATTCTGGATTGGGAGCTACCCCCATTAACATTGGTAGCGGAGCCCTCGACACAGTGTCGAGGGTATCCAGGGGGGCTACCGACGGCACCCGACTGACACAACAGGCAGTGCCAACCTTGGCATTGGGGCGTGACAGCACATGCCGGCGGGGAGTGACGGATCGTCTGGGACGGAGGTGACAGAGACTGGAGGCAACATCTCCAGTCAACTGGCTTATCTGGTTCCAAGTTTTGACCCGAGCAAGGATGATTTACAGTTATACCAACAAAAGGTACAACTGGTGTTCGCAGTGTGGCCACCATCGAAGGTCTCAGAGCTCATCACACGCCTAATTTTAGGCACCACTGGCACCGCCTTCGCCAAACTGCAGCTTCACCATACGGAGTTGTGCACCAATGATGAGAAGGGAATCAAGAAATTGATAGAACTTCTGGGTGGACACTGGGGAAAAACAGGCCTTGAGAGGCGCTATGCAGATGCTGAGAAGGCACTTTTCCAATGCAATCAACTCAGTGACGAGAGCCACGACAGTTTCCTGGCGCGAGCTGATGTCTTATGGACAAAGTTACTGACACAGAAGCTGGAAATGGAGGACCTTCAAGCATATGTGACTCTCCGAGGGTCCCTACTGTCAGTGGAGGACAAGAAGAGGGTCATCATTGACAGTGACAATTCCCTTGAAGGAAAGTTGACGATGATCAAGGTCCGTGAGTCAATCAGAATGTTGGGGACCAACTTTTTCCAGGAAATGACCGGAGTGAAGAAGGGCACCAAGTCCAAGGTGTACGATCAGTCGCTTTTGGTGACAGGACATGGAGCATGCAGGAGATCACGAAGATCAAGCACATGTAGCTGGTCATGATGAGGTCATGGAAGATGATTTCATTGAAAATCTGGCGCAAGAAGGAGATGAGGACGCAGTCTTCGTGGCAGATTTTGAGATGGCTGCTACGGATGTGATACAAGGTGATGAAGATCTTGCAGCTGCATACACGACGTACTTGGAGGCTCGTCGAAAGCTGAGCGAGAAATACAAGGCTCGTGGTTTCTGGCCGATTTCCAAAGGGAAGTCCAAAGGATTCAAGGGAAAGTTCAAGGGCAAGTCCAATTGGACTAGCCGGAAGACGCTGCAACAGCGCATCCTGGAAAGCAATTGTAGGATTTGCGGCCGAAAGGGCCACTGGAAGAGCGAATGCCCAAATCGAGGTCAGTCAACAGCCAGTTCGACAACCTCGACAGCGCCCATCACTCTCTCCGTGGGAGTATCGTCCATTCCAGCCAGCGATGTGATGTCAGCAGAGTTCATGAGCCTGCCCGAAGTTGCACCAACCGCACAGGACTCCAATGGAACACAAGAGTTTTGCTTTGTACAGACCAGTTTTTTAGGTGCCTGGGGTAAGAGTGGGGTTCATAGAGATCCGAATAACATGAGGGGTGTAAGGGAACGAATTAGGAACCATATTAAGGGTAATATGGGGAATAATTCAAGAGTTGCATCCCTGGTGAACAGGATTGAGAGCCGCCTGTTGCCTTTCCGTGCACCACCTGCAGTGAACCGTGATGCATCCGTGTACAGACAACCCATGCCAGGGGTTCAGTGTTCCAGTCCGCCGTGCCGTAACAATGACAAGGAATCCATTTTGGATTTCAAGCCTGCGCCCAGGACAGAGGTGCCGAAGAGCCCAATGTCCAAAATCCCTGATGCAGCCGCTGAGGTACTTTTTGCAACCCATGACACATGGGGTATCCTGGATACTGGGGCCACCAAAACAGTGATGGGAAGCGATTTTGTACCAGGTTTTTTACAAAATGTTCATGCCAGTGTCAGAAGCAAGATTCGCAGGTGTCCCTGTGATGTGACGTTTCGCTTTGGAAACCAAGGAACTCTCAAGTCAGCTCATGCAATGGTTGTACCAGTTGGGGGGTTTGAACTCAAAATAGCGGTGGTCCCAGGGGCAACACCGTTTTTGGTGTCCAATACCCTTTTGAGAGCCTTAGGAGCCATGATAGATACAGGTGCGAACAAGTTGATTTTACCAAAACAAAATCATCAGATACCACTGAAGTTGTCAAGCAAGGGCCTGTATCTAATTGACATGAACATGCTGCTGCAAATGCCTCCTCAACATGAGGGAGTTTGCCAACCTGCCGAGACTTTTGCACAGGAGTCCATTGAAAAGGAGATCAAGGTTACTCCAGCGAGGGATGAACATGCCATGATGAATCAGAAAAGTCAAGCCGAAGTACAAAATTGCCTCAGAGAGAATGATGTACAAACAATCAAAACAAATCTTCAAAGCCACAACATGAATGAAATCCCAAAAGAACAACCTGAAGTATCACAACAGCCAAAACTTTCCGTGAACGTTTCACAGCTGCCATCATCAGTTTTTCCATGTCCAAAAGAAGCTGAGATCGCCGAGAACTCTGCAGTTCAAGCCAGCATTCCCAGGGATTTCCCTGAACGAGTATCGCAGTGTCATGGGCGACTGGACCAAGAGACTCCAGCGCTTGCAATCCGAGATGCCAGCGGCCGAGACCGAATCGGTCGATCACATGTCCAAGGAGGATCTCCAGCACGAGAAGGTGACGTTCGGCAAAGTTCACATGGGCAAACTGTTCTCCGAGGTTTGGGAAACATCCCAAGACTGGGTGAAATGGTTCCTGATGCACTATCAGGACAGTACCAAGCTCGAGCACAAGAAGATGATCCGGTACATCAAGTTGAAGATCGAGGAGGGAGAGGCACATGGATCTGGGGGCCCCACGGCCTCGTGTCGTCCAAAGCCAAAGCCAGCACCGAAGTCGCTGGCAACGGCCAGTCGAACCGGGCCACCGCCTCACCCGGATGCCATGCCGGAAGAGCCTGGAGAGAACCCAGAGGTGAAGACCTTGGAAAACCGCATGACCAACCTCGAGAATGCCCTGCACCAGATACTTGTGTATCTGACGCCGAACACCGCCGGTGCTCCAGTCCCATCGAACCTGGGAGAAGAGTCTCCGGAACTCCCTCTGGTTGCGGAATGGGAAGATCCATGGGAGGCATGAACTCAGAGTCCGAAGAGTGCAACTGGGCTTTGACAGCTGGAGAAATAGATGATTTCACTGACAGCCAAAACAATGAAGAACGCAAATACTTCAACAGTTTAGTCAACTTAATGGAGAGAGAGTTATCCCAAATCGAAAAGAAGAGCACTCTCAAGGGACCAAAGGTAAATCTG